TGAAGTTCTACGGACCTTATTTATGGTCGACGGAGTGTCGACAGGAGATCACGCATGGCAAATGACTTGGCTTTGGAGCCATATGTATCCTTATCATGTGATGTTATTTTTCTGCTTTTGCTTTACTTCCACTGTGTAAATGTGGTTACGTGAAATTTACGTTTTTACCTCTGTTTACTCACTAAGCTTCTAGCTTACCCCGTTTCCTTTGTTGTCCTTAGCAGGGGACGACGCGGGGAACTTTGGGACTCTGCCGTTAGTATAGTTAGGTCTCGTTTGTAATAGTTGGACAGTTAGGATGTTTGTTTTTGTTTTGGTGGTTTGTATAAGGACCCTCCTTAGGGTCTACCTTCTACTGGTTGTTGTTATAGTATATTAGAGAGGTTTGACTTGATGCTTTTGAAGATGTAAATAGAACTTTTGGTGGTTGTATATATTATAAGCAGTTCTCTTTTGGTTTAATATCGTTTTATTAGTTTTGTGTTTCGAGTCCTGGCGCGAGCTAGGCAGGCGACCGCCGATACCCTTGGGTTCGCCCTTGGGAGAGGTGGGGTCGTCACATTGAGTCCTGGCGAGAGCTGGGCAGACGTTCCGCGGATTCCCTTTGGTTCGCCTTAGGGAGAAGTGGGGGCGTCACACGGTTCTGTATTGTGGTAGTAAGGGTGGCTTATCTATCAACTTTTCCACTTTTACCCCCAAAAAACCAAACTCTGCCTTACATAAAGTTACCAGAGCACGATTAACCTCTGGATTTGAAATCACTGCTTATATACTCGGTATTGGCCATAATTTACAAGAACATTCTGTAGTCTTAGTAAGAGAGCGATTTCCTACTAACAATTTGGATTTTTTCTAGCCAAAATTAACTCGGTATTGGCCATAATTTGGATTTTTCTACACCAAAATATAATAGATTTTCCAAGACTGCTCAAAGTCTCCTGCGAAAAAACTTTTCAGCAGCACTTCCCCTTATTTTCCCTAATTTCTAGCCATTTTCAAGGCTTCATTCTCACCACAAGACAGCCCCAAATCAAGTTCACAAGGTATAGGATACACAGAGTACTTATTTTAGCCACAAAACTAGTTATAATCAACATATATCTAAGCTGGAAAATTTTCTACCAAGGCTGGAAATTCTTATTTGGAAACTAAAAAGTCACAATAAAGCTACAAATCTTCATACAAGTCCATAACAAAACTAAATACCATCATACTATAGTTGAAAAATAAGAAACAAGGCTGGAAAAATGAAACCCTAGACTGAAATTTCACCAATCTTCACCAAATCTAGGTTATCTTCTATAAAATTCCAAATTTCAAGTCATCTTCACCATAAATTGCAAAATAAGAAATAGAAAGAAAGTTGTCCAACTTAGTACCTTCCAAACCCCTTGAGAAAGTGAAGAACCAAGCTTTCCTCTCCAAAAACTCTCTACTAGAAGTTTCCTTACTTCCTTGGAGAAACTTTGTTCGGTTTAGTTTTATGATTCCAACTCAAACAAAGCAAGGTTCAAGATGAATTTGGTGGTTTTTCTTCTCTCTTTTCCTCTCCAAACTCACGGCCAAGAAGGTGAAGAAATGAAGGAAAATTGTGGCTAGAGGAAAGATAAGAAGGAAGAAAGTTTCTTAGTCAAAGGTTGCATGGATGGCCAACACTTGGCAAGCCTCCAATTTTCCTCTTGTTTTTGTTTCTTTTCTCTTGTTTTTTGTCAAGAATTTTGGCTAGGCTTAGGGTTAAATTAAAGTAGGATAAATGATAGGGAAATAAGAAGATTAGGGTAGGAAAGTATTGGTCAAATGGTGTCCTCAACCGGTAACAAACGGCGCAAGTCGGTTGAAACCTATTTCTTTGTCTCTTATCTGTCTCTATTTCCCCTGATATCTAGGGTTTCTCTACTTACCTCTTAACACCTCATGCCACATAATTCTTTGTGCACAAAACTTCTTATTTATCAAATTTATTACTCACACCTTACCAGTTGGTCACACTATCTTAATGTACCATGACACTTATCATGCACTAAAATATAAGAGGAAAATTATAAAAATCTTGGCTCAACTAATGAAATCACCATGAAATTTAGGGCTAGTTTTTTTTTTTTTTTTTTTGAGAAAACTCTCACTTTTATTCATCGTATAATTGTCTTACTTTTTTAATACAAAGGAGTTTATTTGCCAATAGCCCTAACACGAATGGCAGGAGTTCCTGCTTTATCCACTATCAAGGCCCCCCTTGCAGGTCTTGGTAACTTCGATTGTGAAGTATAAAGAACAGTCCTCGAACCATTTGCCCCAGCCTTAGCTAACGCATCCGCCACCTAGTTCGCCTCTCGATAGCAATGTCCCACCGTCCTAGCCAAAGCACAGTTTGCCTGGAATGTTTCAAATTTCGATCGAATCAACCACGGACACTTCAATTTGCCTTGGAGGATATTTGCTAATAGTAGCGAATCCACCTCCACCTGAACGCTAGAGAAGCCCCGCAACACGCACTGCTGCACCCCATATATTAATGACTTAGCCTCCGCCTGTAGACTTGTCACCTCTCCAAGAGGGATGGAGAACCCAAATACCAATTCACCAGACGCATCCCTAAGTACACCACCCCCTCCACTCTTCCCCAGATTACCCAGTGAACAGCCATCTGTGTTTAGCTTGCAAATCGCCTGACCTGATGGTTCCCAACAAACCATCCGATGGGAGTATCGAGGGCGCCATCCAGAAAGACTGGCATAAAAAGCATGCCAGGACGAATAACCCTCCGATTCCCCCTCAGCCTTTTCACAAACCAATCCCACTGCATCTGCCATAATACGATCACAAATAGTCCGCCTGCGCAGGGATTCCGTGCCAACCAAATATGCCAACCAAATATGCCAACAGATTATGCTAGGAAACACCGTATGGATCATCTTCATACGAGAATGACGTGTTGGTAGAGACCACCAACCTACCAGTCGAGATCGAACACCTGTACCTCTGTAAACAACCCCCACCGCATTCCCAAAGAAAGCCCAAAGGAACTGGGCTAGATCACCTTCTGAAAAAATGTGCTCTAATGATTCTGAGTTGGGATCTAAACAGCAAAAGCACTTTGAAGGGCCGTGAACATTTAGCCTCCCTAATGCTGACGCTACAAGCAACCGATTTCTCAACACACGCATCATGAAAAAGGAAATCTTGACGGGCAACAACGGGTACCAGACTCCAGCAAACATGAACGAGGTAGGCTGCTACCCACTGGACAAATGGTAGGTCGATGCAATCGAAAAATCCCCAGACTCCATCAAACACCAGACTGCCCTGTCTTGCCCGTTACCAGTAGGGACAGGCCTTTGGATAATCTCTGCAACAACAGCATCCGAGACCCAGCACCTCAGCAAATTTTGGTTCCACCGTCCATTTGACACAAAATCGAACACGGAATGATCCGAAACACTCTCCAGCCTCTGACACAGTGGGCCAGAGCCCAACCAATTATCAAACCAAAAGTTGCAATTTCCTACCTGGACCAACCACCAAAGATTTTGTTCCGCCCCTTCATGAACCTGGAGCATCCGACGCCAGACATAGGAGCTGCCCTTTGTCACCCCCACCATGCATGGATGGCTTTGACGGCAATACTTGGCATGCATAAAGGTGGACCACAAACAGTCGCTTGTATGAAACCTCCACCAAAGCTTGAAAGAGAACGCTATATACACCTCAAGTAGAGAATGGACACCTATCCCTCCTTGCGACGTGTTGGCACACAAATCCTGCCATCTAATCCAATGATGCCGTACCCCACTATCCCTCTCCCCCCAAAGAAAGTTTGCCATGACTCATTCAGCCAAGGCAAGGACTCCTTTAGGAGGGCTCGAAGCCGTGAGCAGATGAACCGGGATCGCTGACAGGACATGTTTAATAAGAGTAATACACCCTCCAAAGGATAGGAAGCGAGATCTCCAAGCTCCCATCTTGTTGATGACTGACTGCACCAAGCCCAAAAAATATGCGCTCTTCCGCCTTCCGATGATTAGCGGGTAACCCAAGTATCGCACCAGGGATGGATTGGCTACAAACCCTGTAACACGTCGCACCCTAGCCATACAACGGCTAGATAATTTCTCATGCACCAAAAAAATCACTCTTTTGTATATTAATCTGCTGACCCGACACTTCTCATACCAACCAATCATCTGCATGACACACAGTAGTGAAGTAGGACAGGCATTTGAAAAAACAATGACATCATCAGCATAACTGAGGTGAGTAATCTTAGGGCAGGCCCTTGGCACGGAAAAGCACTTGAAATCCCAATTCTCTAGCAACTTATTCAACGAACGAGATAACACCTCCACCCCGATAATGAATAGTCCTGGAGACAATGGATCTCCTTGACGAACCCCCTGCGTGGATTTAATGAACCCTACACTTGCCCCATTAACTAAGACAGAGAACCAGACATTCGAAACCAACCTCCAAATCATGTCAATCCATCGCCCACCAAATCCAAACCTTTGCAATACTTGAATCAAAAAAATCCAAGAGATCCTGTCATACGTCTTCGACATATCCAGCTTGAGAGCCACATTAGCCTGCCCTGATGGCTTACCCATACTAGACAGAAGCTCTTGGGCAAGCAAGAAGTTGTCCGATATAAGACGTCCCTACACAAATCCACTCCGCTGAGGAGAAATAATCCTCGGGAGCACAGGAGCCAGGCGAACAGCCAACAGTCTCGAAATTACCTTATTAACGAAATTGCATAGGCTGATTGGCCTGAACTGTGAAAAATCCTGGGGATGTGCAATTTTAGGGATGAGAACAATGGATGTAGCTGTGATTGCCCTGGGTAGCTCAACTCCGCAGAAGAAACTATTCACAGCCCTAATCACGTCATCACCTATAATTGACCACGCCGAAGTGAAGAATTTACCAGTATAGCCATCTGGCCCCGGCACACTTTTCCCATCCATGTCAAACACAACACGACGAATCTCCTCATCGGAGGGGACTCACTCCAGGGCATCGTTATCCTCGTCAGTCAGCAGTTTCGGGATAATCAGAAGCAAATCCGAAGTCGAGGCCGAATGCTGATCCGTAAACAGTTGCTCAAAAAATCGTACCTTCTCCTCTCCTATTGCCTTCTCCGATGTAACCCATTCCCCTCGGTCATTTTTAATCTTATGAATAATTGACTGGACCCTCCGTTGTTTTATCACAGAGTGGAAAAATTTAGTGTTCCTGTCTCCCTCATCTAACCACTTAACTCGAGCCTTCTGCTTCCAAAAGAGCTCCTCAACCTGCAAGGTAGACCGCAACTGAGCTTGAGCACGATGTAAGTTCGCCCGCGCTTTCTTTGATTCATCACTCTCCACATGAATCTCAGCAAGCCGCACCTCCTCTTCTTTGCGTTTAACTGCCTGAAAGATATCCCCAACCACCTCCTTATTCCAAAGCCGAATAACCCCCCTAAGTCGCTTTAACTTTTGACATAGAGTATGAATGGGGGAGCCAAAACAAGGTTGATCCCAAGACTCGCTAACCAAACCCAAAAAATCAGTACGGTCTGCCCAAACGTTGAGGAATCTAAACGGCCGCAGCTTGTTATCCACCCTCGTCGACACAGAGATGAGAAGTGGAGCATGATCAGACGGTTCCCGGGCTAAGTGTGAGATCGACAATGAGATCCCCGCATCATAGCACCCCTCATTCACCAGAACCAGATCTAACCGTTTCCAAATTCGAGCCCTGCCGTATCTATTATCGTACCATGTAAACTATGCACCAGCGAAACCTATGTCTGTGAGATTCGCTTTGCCAATAAAATGCCCAAAGTCTAGCGCTTCAACAGGAGTAAATAGACGACCTCCCCTTTTCTCATTAGCTTCCAAAATTACATTAAAATTGCCGCCGACGAACCAAGCCTAGGGCCTGGGTTATCCCTCAAAAGATCAGCCCAAAGCTCGTTCCTCTCCACGGCCGTACACCAAGCATGCACAAAAGATACAATAACTCGAGACCCCGGTATGTGGTCGTGGGAGAGTCTTACTGACACATGTTGGGAACTTTCCCCAATAATAGACCCAGAAAAATTCTCTTGGAAGAAAAACCAGATAGTACCCATAGAATTATGCAACAAACTATGAAACTTTAACGGACTACGATAATGCTCAGCTCTTCCAACCTCCAACCGAGGTTCACATATAGCCAGGAATTGTAATCTATGTAATTGAATCAATTTTTTTAATCTTCTCACAGTTGGAGCTTTTGATATGCCCCGCACATTCCAAAACATGCCGTTAATCATTTAATGAACCATAGGAAGCATTCTGTGAGTTAATTAACTGAGACCGTAGCAACCTATCAGAGGGGAATTTTGCGCGAATACCTTTTTGCCTAGTATCTATGCCTGCTGTTGCGCTATCAAGCACTCCTACCGCTGAAGAGAAGGTCCGGGACTGATTGCAATCCAACTCCCTAGCCTGCGAGGAAGAGATTGCAGCAATGTGTTGCGACTCCTCCTCATAGTTGGACTCCGAACTCTAATCAGCCTCCTGCTGCCGCTCAATAGGAGAAGCTGACCGATGCTCTTCGCAAAGCTGCATTGCCGCCTCATCCGCTAGTGCAAACTTTCTCGGCCCATCAGACCCTCCCATCTTCCCAACCAGCCCTCCAGTACCACCTGAAGCTGCACTATCAACCTTCCCGATCGCCATCCCATCTCCTTCGCAACCTACACTACCACAAGACACCTCCCCCACTGTGTTAATTTGCCCACCATCTTGGGACTTCAGCCCCTCCTTAGCATCTACCTCCCCTCCTTCCCCGCATCCCCCATAACCCTTGCCATCCATCCTTTCCTCTTGCTAGAAACCACCCATACCAGAATCCGTCTGCACCTCTACCTCCCCCACTGTCTTAATTTGCTGACCATCCCACCCATACCAGAATCCGTCTGCACCTCTACCTCCCCCACTGTCTTAATTTGCTGACCATCTCGGGACTCTAGCCCCTCCTTAGCATCTGTCTCCCCTCCTTCCCCGCATCCCCCATAACCCTTGCCATCCATCCTTTCCCCTTGCTGGAAACCACCCATACCAGAATCCGTCTGCACCTCCACCTGCTCCCTTGCCACAATCTGCCGGAACACCTGATCCCCCACATCCCCCTGTGTCTCTCATTCCGCACCCACTCCACTTCCCTCGCCCACAATCCCAGCCTCCACACTACCAAATTTTGGGGCGAGGCTGGGCTTTCTAATTCACTCAGTCCTTCAATCCTCCTGCACCTCATCCGCCACGGCCACTTGAATCTCCTTACCCGAGCATTTCATCCTGAACAAAAGGTCATCAGCCTTGCAGTCCTCCCTTGCATGACCCATGTGCCAGCATTTGTTGCAATATTGCGGGAGGTGTTCAGCCACAATTTGCTGCCAGAAGCCATCCGCCTCTCCCGACATTCCTACCCACACCCGCTGTGGAAGAGGGTGTAACAGATCCACCTCTACACAGACCCGAGCAACACTTGGCCGAGAAACCGATGAAGTGGCTGCATCAACATAGAGCGGCCGTCCTACTACACTCGCAATGGAGAACAGGCTATGCTTATCAAAGAAATGGATTGTCAAACAAGGCAATGCAATCCATACTGGGGCTAGCGAAGACTCTCGCTGGACATGAAAATCTGGTGACCAATGGAACACTCGCATTGGAAATCTCCCAATCTGCCATATCCCCCGAGTCCAAACACGCAAGAAGTCTGCTTCCTGATTGAAACGCATTAGTACATGTCGAGCATCTAAATGCCCAATGGTGACAGAATTTTTTAGGTTCAAGGTGGAGAAGAATCGGCGAACGTCATCCAATTTCGGCCGCCCATGAGAAAACTTACCAACTACCACAAATTTATACGGGGCAGCAAGCTTAACAATATCCTCCCTGGAAAAGAAAACCGCAGGTTCTCCTTTGTGAGCCATCGGTTTCTTGAGATCAATCGGAGAAGGAGATTCCACGGCAAAGAGAGAAGCAAACGACTTTGTTGATGGTGAGGGGGGTTGCCCTCCAGCCCTAGGCTAAAGGGCGTCCATGTCAACGAAGCCACCAGCTGTGCAAGCCAAGTTACGGCAACCTTAGGGAAAAACCCCTAGAGAGCTGCTCTCTATTTCGAACAAACAGGGCTAGTAAATAGTCAAATAGTCAAGTAAAGAAATATAGAAGGAAATATAAATTAATTTTTAAAAAATGGGAGGAAATTCTAAAGAACTTTTTGGGGTCCTCACAAGAACCAATAGTTAAATATAAAAGCACGGGTAAAAAATATCCATTAGAAACATTGGATAAGAAAAATTTACTAGATGAAGGACTAACATTAAATTTAATAGCACATGATCCCTAATTATGGGATACCATTATAGATCATTAGAAATATAAAGTAGTTCGACACTATATACAAAAGGGATTTGATCATAGTACTCCAGAATGTATACATATTTAGAAACATTTTTAGGAGAAACAGTTAGGGTAGCATGGGAAAAATTTAAAGAAAAATTTCCTAACCTATTAACAAAAGATAACCCACATAATTTAACAAATAGAATACAATCATTATTAACAGCACAAAGTCTCAATAGGGGAACTCTAATGCAACAACAGGAATCAATTAGAAAATTAGAACAGCTTAGTATGAGTAATTGGGATCAAACAAAAAATTTTATACAAGAATATACATATTATGCATTATTAGCAGGATGTTTCTATGATGAAGGAATAATGGAAAAATTAGTATTAAAATTACCAGGATAGCTAGGAAAAAGTATATATGATAAATATAAGATAATACAATGAACTGAACCAACTCTAAAAAATGTAACAGTAGTGGTAAAATTCATAATGAAAGAATTAGAAGATAAATGCACAATGATAGCAATACAAAAATAATTAAAAAGAGAACATAGTTTGTGTAAGAGCATTTATACATCTCAAAATTATGATAAAATAGAAAAGAAACTCAAAAAATATAAGAAAAAATATTTCCCCAGAAAGACATATTATCTTAGAAAATTTAGAGCTAGAAAACCATACTTACAAAAAGAAAAACATGTTAGAAAATATAGACCAAATAGGAAATATACAAATAAAAATTGTTATGCATGTGGAGAACCAGATCATTTAGCAACAAATTGTCCACGAAGGAAAAATCCATACAATAGACAAAGCCAACTAGTAGAAACTGTCAATGAAGACTTAATAGAAGTAGATGAACATATGTCAAACACAGAAAGTATTATAGTATAGTGTCCTTAGAAGATAACCAAGACATAGATAGTGAAGAAGAAGAATCAGAATTCATAGAACAAATAACAAATCAAATAGATAATTTTACGCTTTATTTATCAGAACTTGTAGAAAATTATTGTAACCATAATTGGATACATAAGCAAGGTACAGATAGTAAAACATGTTTTAATTGTGAAAGATATCCAGCAATAGAGCTTAGATTTCAATGTAATAATTGCATGATAGAAGCATGTAAGTTTTGCCTAGACAAATTAAAATTCGGATATAATATGGAAAATAATAAAAGAAAAAATAAAATATATGACAATGAATTAATAGAACATTATCTAGAAAGAAGAATACGAATTCTAGAACACAAAATAGATTTATTAGAAGAAAAACTTGAAAATCTAAAAAAAAAAATCAATTAGAAGAAAATATAGAAGAAGTAAAAAACATAGCCAATATAGGACAACTAATAGAAATGATAGATTATGATAGGTGAACCAAAAAATTTTTTACAATAAAAATCAAACATATAGTACAGATAAAAAATTGGAAATATGAAGCCAAAACTATAATGGACACAGGATGTACAAAAATAGTTTTAAACAGTATAATAGTACCATTAGAATATCATACAAAATTCCTCAGAAGTTGTAGCAGCTAGACAAATGGATGGTAAATTTTATACTTATAGCACAGCAGTAAAACAGGTAAATTTTAGATTTAAACATAACGATTCATATAGTATTCCTTATTATTTAGAAGAAATATATATACGGCCCATAAGATTCCAACTTATAATAGGACTAGACTTCCTACTCTACTATTACCACGATATGATATTAACTAGAAAAAGTATTACTATAATTAAAGAACCTACCTTAGAAATAACATCAAAGTTACAAGGGAAGCGTGGTGGGACTAATCATATAGAAAAAGATAGACAATTAGTTAAAAATCTAGACAAATTTTTAGACATAACCCAAAAGAAAATAATAGAAAAAGAATGCAAATGTAAAATACCAGAACATTGTAAAGACCTTCTAGAAGAAGACTTAGGATTAAAATTAGAAGAAATTTATGATGAATTAGAAATCTGTATGGAACTTATAGAAAATGAAAAATATATAATTTACTAGAAACAGGAATAGAAGAAATTGATAAACTTATAAGTAAATTAGAAAAAGTGGAAATACTAGGAGAAAATCCAACAGAATTTTGGAAAGAAGATAAAATATATTGTAAATTAGAAATCTTAAATTCAAAATTAAAAATTTCCACAGTAAAAATAGAAGCCAGTAATGAAGAAATAAAAGAATTCAAAATGAATATAGAAAACATTAAAAAATTAGGAGTAATAAGAAAAAATGAATGTCCACATAAAAGCGCAGCATTCATAGTTAAGAAACATAGCAAAAATTGCTAGAGGAAAAAGTAGGATGGTAGTTAATTATAAAAGATTAAATGATAATACAAAAGAAGATAGTTATGATATACCAAACAAAAACCAACTAATTAACAATTAGTTATGCCTTTTGGACTTAAAAATGCACCGACAGTATTCCAACAAAAAATGGATAATATATTTAATAAGTATAGTGAATTTGTATTAGTATACATAGATAATATCTTAGTATTTTCTAAAATTAGGAAGGAACATATTAAATTAGTCTTTGAAGAATTCCTCAAACAAAGTATAGTCACAAGCTCTAAAAAAGCACATTTTTTTTTAGAAAAAACATAGAATTTTTAGGAATAGAAATAGGACAAGGGAAAATAAAATTACAACCCCATATTAGTAAAAAGATCCTAGAATTTCCTGATAAGATAGAAGAATATTACAACAATTTTTAGGACTGTTAAATTATGTTAGGCCATTTATTAAAAATTTAAGTAGAATTATAGGACCACTTTATGCTAAAACTTCATTAAAAGGACAAAAATATTTTAATAAAGAAGATATAGAACGAGTAAAGAAAATAAAACAAGAAGTTAATAGATTATCAGACCTAAAATTACCCTTAGATACAAATTACCTAATTATAGAAAGTGATGGAAGCTCATTAGGATGGGGAGCCACATTATTAGCAAAATCTAATAAATATGATAATAAAAATAAAGAAGAATTTTGTAGATATGCTAGCGGAAGATATAGAAAAAGAGGAAATATAAGTAGCATAGATGCAGAATTATTAGCAGTAACGTACAGCTTAGATGTTTTTAGACTTTTTATATTAAATAAAAATGAAATAACAGTAAGAACAGACTATAAAGCCATAGTTGTGAGGACCCATAAAATTCCCTTAGTTTATATCTTTTACTTTATTTTTCGCATGCATTTTCTTTACTTTACTTTACTGTATTACTTTTCCAAAGATTTTTATAAGTAAGTATAGTTTTAAATCATTTTTTTAGAATAAGTTAGTTCATATTAAATTTGAAGTGTATTGTGAACGTGGGACCTGCTAGTGCGGTTAGTGCGATAAATTTTGACAACTCGTTGAAGTTTCGTATTAAGCGATATTATTGTACAAGGTGCTAGGAGATAATTAGAAGTTTGCTAGATAGATTAACCATTGGGAGACAATAGGATAGGATTGAAACTTAAAGGAGCCAAGTGTCACTACACTATTGGAAGATGGATTTTGACTAATTTTTTTCACCTTTACTAAACCTCAAAAATTGACCAAATTCCTTCCATTCTTGAGCTTCTCTTGGCCGAGCTTCATAAGGGAGAAAAGAGAGAAAAGATTTGATCTTGCACTCCAATCTTGTGTTCCAACCATCAAAGGTGCAAATTACTCCATACAAAGTGCTAGCTAGGGAGGATTAGAGGTGTTGGTGGAGTGTTTTTTGAGGGGAAAGTATTAAACTACCATCTTTCTAGTGTTTCTAAGGTAACTTGCCAAGAAATCCCTCTTTACTTCTAATAATTGCATATTAGTGGTTTAAGGTTGTTGAATATGTAGTTTTGTGAGGAACATGATGGCTTGAAGTGGTCTTATGGAAAATTTCAGTTTTATTGGTGAATATTCTGCCCTCATATGAAGCTTAATGATTAGCCATGGTTTGCTAGCTTTGTATGTGATAAATTAGTGTATTATGTGCTAGATGGACTTGCCTAAAGAAATTTCTAGCCTTAGCTCCAAATTTCCAGCTTTAAGGATGAATCTGTTCTGCTCTGACCTGCTTAATTTGTTCATCTTAGAGGCCGAATCAGGCTTAGGTCAAAACATAAAGGTTGTAGGAAATGGTGTTAACTAGCTGCCTGCAAAATTTCAACTCAATCAGAGCACTGTATCATGTGAAATGACAAAAAATACCCTTGACTGCCCAACGTACTATTTTGCGGGCAGTTTTTCTGTTTTCCTCTGAGATATCACATTTTGATATTTAAAATGCATGAATTGGATATTGGTATCTTCATAAGACTTGTAGTTCCCTGTCTCAGCTTCAAAAAGGTATAAAGTGTACTCCAAACCGATAAGCGTAGCTCCAGTTGTGACCAAAGTACTATAAGATGTCAAATCTGCTGTTTAGTCTTTTGTCTTCAAAAACTGATTTCCAGTTGTATTGCTAGACTTGTGAGGTAAGTGGATGATTTTGGAGCCTAGTGAAGGGCTATTGTGGTAAGATTAATTATGTGTGATTTTGGGGCTGAATTGAGAAAATAATGAAGTCATAAATGACTGAA